GCCCGCCCGCCCGCGCTCACTTCTCGATCTCAAGCGCCGCCACCTTGCGCTTCTCGTAGAGCTTGTCGTTCAGCGCGCGCACGATGGTGGGCGTCAGCGGCGCGAAGTCCTTCTCCGCGTTCATGGCGGCGGTGCGGGTCGCTGCGGGCAAGGCTCGGGGCGGCCGGAGCCGGGCAAAGCGGGGGCGTCACAAGGAGCGGCCAGACCAGGACGAGCCCCCCATAACCGGGCGGATGGGTTACGCTGCTCCTCCGGTGCTAGCGGGCGGCGGCGGCCATGTTCGCCCAGCACATGATCCGGCGCCGCTTCCGGTTTCCGCCCGAGGCCCCGCCCCTGCCCTCCAGTCCCTTTGCGCACGCGCGGCCTGTCGTAGAGCTCTAGCCGCGTGGTCTCCGCCCGTTGGTGCCACTTGTGGCCTGAGCGCCTTCTGAGGGCCAGTAGGGCGGCCACCTCCCCGGGCCCCGCTGCTGCCGCCCGGCTCCCCGCAGGGTTCCGCTGCCTCCGAGCTATGGGGCTGAGGCAGGGAAGGGTGCCCCGGGTGCGGACCCGGGCGGCCTCCAGTGCGATCTGCGCGCGCAGGAGGGCAGCGGCCCCGGGCCAGACCCCGGCTTCTCGCCTCTCGGCGGGGCCGTGGCAGCCGGCGGCAGGCGCCCTGAACCCGTTGCCGGGCTCCTTCAGCGAGAGGATGGCGGGGTCTGGGTTGCTGCTGCAGAGCCGTGTTGTGTCCCAGCAGAGGGCTGCAGAGCTCCCCTGGCCTGGGCCACAGCACTCGGTAGAAGCGGGACTGAAAGGGGCCTGCAAAAGTCAGCCTGAGGCAGGAGCATCCCTCCCCAAACCACCCTGTGCAAGTCCACAGTCTAAACTCTTCATAAAATGATGAGTAACCCTAACACAGCACACTAACCTGCCCCAGGGGAGCCCGTGTCCTGCTTCTGTTACTTGCCCCAGAGATCCCAGGCAGAGAGGGGCTTACTGCTTCAGAGGAAGGCAAAAGCCCCGTCTGCACCAGTTTGACCATGGAGTAAAATTCCTTCCTGACTTCAAATCTGGCAACAGGAATGACCCTGGGCAGAAGGGCATGACCCCCTAGCCAGGAACCTCCAACTTTAAGTCTCCCAGGAGCCCTGGCAGAGCCCTGGCACAGTCCCCACCTTGGAGGCTGCCAGTGCTCAGAGTCTCATGTTTGGCCTTGCAGTGTTTAGGTTGTCTTTTCAGAAACCTCTGGTCTTCCCTTCTTCCTCCATCCAGTCCTGAGTTACCAGCTCTTGCTTATTCTTTAGTGTTGTCTCAGCTACCAGCAGAGGGTTCAGGAGTGGTCAGGGTAGCAAGGTAAAAAAGATTTACTGACTTAAAAACACAACTACATGTAAATAATAAGGCTACAATGACAGACAATAATAATTCACATTGGCAACTTATCGGCAGTTTCTTCTGATGCCTGATGTACAACAAGTTTCTTTTTTGCAAAGCTCAGCAAAGTCAGGTGTCCCCGATCAGCACTGTCTGAGGGGTATGGGGAAGGACCCTGGTATTCAGTCTTTGGGCTCCTTGAGATCTACGGGCCCACCGAAACTAGGTCAGCAGCTAACTCTAGATCAGCTTCTTTCACAGAGCTGCATCTCTCTTCTAAATGATTTTTGGATGTGCTAGCTAATTTATAACTTTTGAGCTGTGCTGATAACTTACTTCCATACAGATTGCCCTATTGCAAGCTTCCCTTAGGACTGACTAAGAGCAGTACAAGCCTTTGCATTCTTCTGATAAGGTTAATTTTAAACTGCACTACAAAGCTTGCTACTACTTTTATAAGGCTATGCTAAATTTACTACATACTTTTAACTTCAATTAAGCTCTTAGTGGCAACAAACAGCTTATAATACATGAACAAATGAAAAGAAACACTTGGTCTAATCTTCACAGCATTCAGCAAGCACCTTAGACACAATTTTCAGCTGTCAAGTGTCACTGAACTCTACGTCTGCCTACACATGGGCCTCTCCAGGCCTTGGCTACAGTAACTGCCTTTTCTGTCTTTGTCTCCCTGTTCGCACTCTGTAGAAAGTCCTTTGGCTACAACTCTGCAGTTTCCATCTCTTCCTTTGCTCAGGGTGCTGTAGGCTACCACCTACAGTAGGTTCCTGCTTTTAGGCTGACATACGTCCCTTCTACTTTAAGTACTCATGAAGTCTGTGGCAGGGAACAGAGTACAAGGAGGAGAGCCCTGAAAAGCAGCAGGGTAAACAAGCCTGCAGGACAGGTTACCCTGCAGATTAACAAGCAAGGAGTGGGCAACAGCCCTAGGGCCCATTGGTTAAGGCAGGACACGTGGGCAGACTGATTAGCAGAGAGCTGCGTTTTCTGTTTCCCACAGAAAAATAGGGAGGGAAAAAAAAAGTATTTTTCCTTTTGACCAAGAAAAACACGGATTATTCATTTTATCAGAGAAGCACACAGATTTTCCACTTTTGCAAAGAGGTCTCTGGACCGGGGGTGGGGAGGAGGGCAGTCAGGCAGAGGGTGCCATGTGTATGTGCATGCTCACATGTGCACGTAGCCGGCTGCCAGGCAGTCTGGAGAGCAGCCCCTGCAGGTAAGTCTGGCATGGGAGGGGGATTGAGGGCCCCATAGGGAAGGAGCTGGGCAGGATTGGGGCTGCTGTCCAGCTGGGGCAGTGTGTAGGGCTTGGGGCCAGGACTGGAATGTGTGGCTATTGGGCCCCGGCAAGGAGCAGGATGGAGCTACAGGTACCTCATTTGAGGGGTGGGGGAAGGGCTGCCTCTCCACCTTTGCACGCACTCCTGGGGAGGGCAGCAGGGAACTTGTGCCCCTCAGATTTGTGCATGTGGCAGGTACGAGCTTGGGCTTCTCACCCTGCTGCCCTCCCTCTGGGCCTCTGTGGCCCAACGGGCAGGACCCGGCCCATCAGGGCAGAGCAGGGCCGGGTGGGGAAGCTCCTTGCCACAGCGAGCCCCACGCCACCATGGTGAAGTACCCTCTGCCCTCCCGGTATCAGTGGGGGTGGTGGCGCAGAGTTGTGCCCCTTGCTGCTTCCAGGTGGGCAAGGGGCACTTCGCAGAGTGGCACGGGGCTTGCAGCAGCAAGGAACTTTCCCACCTAGTTCTGCTTTGCCCTGGGTCCTACTTGCTGGGCCCCAGAAGCCCTGGGGGGCGGTCAGAAGAGTGGGGAGCCTGAGTCTACAACAGGCATTGCTTTCAATTTGTAAATATATCAATAAAACATTGTGTTCAGTTGATACATACATATACATAGCAGGGTTTCATTTTAATTGAAGATGTTGGTGTTTTTAAAAATCAGAGAATTTGTAACTTTTAAACCAAGAAAACCAGGATTCCTGCTGGTTAGCAGCCCCTTGGGGGCTGATAACATAGGGGAAAGAAGGGAAGGGGAAGAACATCCAGATTATGGGAGACCCTTCTGTAGGGAGGGAGCTGCCAAGACAGCCAAGAGAGTTTTAAGAGTCTGGAAGCAGGGCAGATCAGGAAAAGGCCTGGGAAGAGCCCAGCCATAAAAGGGACAGTGTGCCTTAACTGTTCCAGGCAAAAGGGGAGTATCCTTTCTTTAGTTAGAGCACCAAAAGGACCTGATTTTTATTAACTGCCTAGAGCACTGGGGGGGAGAGGGGAAGGGGGGACAGGACTAGAAAGGGGTGGAGGAGGAGGTTCCCACAGGAGTTCAGGTGGGCTCAGCTCAGCTACAGAGTAAGAAAGCAATGGATAGTTAAAGAATACAGAACGAGAGAGCAGAAGCCCAATAGGCAACTGGGACAGAGCCCATCCAGAGGCAGGGCACAGCAAGGTCCCACTGATAGAGATAAGAAAAGCCAAAGACTGGGGTATCGCGGAGCTCAGATTGTTGTAATTTGGGCAGTACTCCAACACGTACCCTCTCTCCAATTGAAGGGATCAGAGCAGGTGCATAAGTACTGTGGGAGGTGTAGGGACTCTCCTCCCCTTATAGAGGAGAGACAGATCACTAGTGGGGACTTAACCATATACCTTTTAATGAGAGAATAGTACTGGGAACATAACTAGTATAAGCCAGGGGTATAGGGGATACTACAACACCCCAAGGGGGCAGGATTCAACAAAGGTTAAACACTCACAATCATAGACATATTCATCCAGTTGACAAGACAGGGTTAACAAAATATAAAACACAAAACAGCAGAACAAACAATACTGGTTGGTGAAATATAAAAGGCACAAAATACAAAACATCAAACAAGGAATATAGGGCCTGGGTACCTGGAAGGGTGGGGGAAAAAGGGAAAACACAATGGCTTCTTTCCATTGCAAAGAAAGTTTCTCCCTGACACTTCACTCCCCCAAAGTCATCCCAGCTTAGACTTGAAGTCAGACCACCTGTGTGGTAGCCAGAAGCTCTACCACACAGCCACCAGTGCTGATGCTTTTCCAAGCTGCTAGGGGTGTTGACCTTCCTGGACCCCCAGCCTCATATCCAGCTGCCTGGCCTCTGATTGGAGGAGCTAAAAACCTCTCAGGTCACTGCTCAGATCCTTGTTGGAGCGGGGGAGCCTCTCCTGCTGGCTGCAGCCTCTTGCAGGGGATTCTGGAGCCCAGCAGGGAGCTTCCCCTGCTGGCTGTCCAACTCCTGTCTGCAGGTCCCACTCTTTCAGGCTCTTCTGGGGCAACTGCTCCCACCCCACTGGCCCAGCTCCTTCCTTGTGGTCCCTCACTGGTCTCTCTTGAGTCAGCCACACTGTCCCTTTTATCCCCCTCCAAGTGACCCGAAGGGCCAATCAGGGGACATGGAGGGTGAGTCTCTGGGGACTGATTGGTGAGGAAAGGGAATCCCAAGTCCTCCAATCATCTTTTACCCTTTCAAAACCCCTGGGCCAAATCATTACCAGCTAGCCGGTCACACTGTGGTTTGGACTAGAGGGATAAGGGGGGCTATGGAGTGAGAGTGCCGAGTCTCTTGTGAGTGGTGAACAGCCTCCCTTCTCAAATCACCATCTTATCTGGAATGGAGGCAGGCTTTATCCAAGATGAGGTCCAGGGTAGGAAGGCACAGCAAAGACCCCACAATCCTGTGACAGTCCCATTCCTAGGGTGACCATGTCTGGATTTCAAAGGTCAGTCCCAGCTGGTTGGCAAAAATTAAAATAAGAATCTCAGATTTGCAGGAAAGTAGGCCAGTGGGGAGGCAGAGTGACACACTGCAGCAGTGCCACTGAAGGGGTGGGGGCAGTGTCCCAAATGTCTTAGATTTCCCTGTGGTCACCCTACCCATTACCACGGTGTCTGCATACCTTGGTGCATTTAACATGCGTATACCCCACTGCACCTTTGTAAACATTTAAAGCACTTGTCCAGGTGGTTGGAGAACCAGGTTTTAGGTCTCCCCTCAGTCATACGGGATCCAAACTTGAGCTTCTTTTTTCAAGCATAATGTCCAAACATCAAACTATGGGCCAAGAGGGCTGAATGCTCCCACCACACTGCCTGTTGTAGCTGCCCCACTGGGCAACCAAGGGGGAAGATGTAAAGAGGAGCCTGACTATGGCTGTGTGAGGAGGGCACGTGCCTAGAAAGTAGTATGCCCAGTACCCACAGCTGTTTCTGCTTTGAGCAGTCATTGGATAAAATGCAAAAGCAGGGGCAGTGCTCTCCTCACCAGGGGTCTGTGGCAAAGCAGGAAGTTAAATACAGGCCTCCAAAATCTCAGTCCGGCATCCTGACAACTGTTGCCTCTGCCTTACTTTCGAACTGCCCTTTAACATGTACATCTCAGGAATCCTTAACCTTCTCCTCACTAATTCCCCACATGCTCTTTACCTTGACTTACTCTTCTTTATTTTGCTTCACTTAGCCTGCAGACTCTTGAGGAAAATGAATGTGCCTTTCTTTCTAAAATGCCTTCCAAATTATAGCTCTATACAGCGATTTCATTTCTGTTAGCAACAATTAAATAAAAACTAATAGGGCTGATCCAGAGCCCTTACTTTGGAGTAGTCTCCCAAAAATTTAGTGTTGTAATGTAGCTAGATCTTTGTGGTTAAATGCATGAATATATTTTTCTTCCATGCATATAATAAAGTTTGCTGGTATAATAAAGCTTGTTAGTTTGTGATGAAGCACTATCCAGTGTTTCATCAACTGTGCTATGAAGTTTTACTGTTTTTCAGGTTAATTGATTTCTGTAGAGTCTAAAACATGATAAAAGGAAAACTATAATCTATTTTCCAAAGAAAATGAAAAAAAGTGAGGAAATGTTTCCACTAGACATCTTTGAAGTGCAGGAACATGTTCACAGCTGACACCTTGGAAAACTGAAATTTGAATGAAATACATCAGGAACAAATCTGTTCAGTAAGGGCATGAAACCAGGGGCCTTTGGAGCTGCAAGGAGAGCTTTTACTGGGTTCAAGAGATGTGGCCGTGAGGTGAAGAGTACGAGTAAAGGGCTAGCTTGCTATTTCCACTGCTCTGTGCAGAGGGTATAGAGGGCTGTTATTCTGGACACAAAAAGAGGGCAGTGTTGGGTACCCAGTGATGTGTGCCAGGAACTTCCAGACGATGCTAATCCCCAGTGCAAAGTCATGAGGGTCACATGGCAAGCAGGTCTCTGTGAAAACAGCAAGAGGGCAAGACATTTGCTTTCTCTTTTCTCTCTCTCTTTCAACACCACTTATTATAACTTCACCCCTATTTTCTGCTCCTCTTCTTTCATCTTTAGACTTCTCTTCCTTTTTGGGCAAGGTTTGCAATCTTGCTTTTCATTCAGCTTCTCACCCTTCTCTCATTCCCTTAGGCCTATGCACTTGTGAAAGGTTGACTCCTACCCTTGCTTTCAGTTGGGCTGCTAAGCAGAGATGCCAACTTTTATTTTTGCCAGGTGGGAGAGGGGGCCTAAGATGATGGACATGTGGAACATCTTATGCATTTCAGGTGACAGTCCTCTTCCCAATGGGGAGCAGGGCACTCAGGCCCCTATGTACTCTGCTGCTAAGCCACCTACTCTGCAATGAAGACACAGGGTAACACTTGAATGTTGATAACACTTCAAGGCCTTCCCACAATCACTTCCACATGTCCAGAGAAAAAGACAAATTCTTTTACAAACCACTGGGAAAGTATCAGAGCAAGTCCGCTTACTGCAACACAGGAACCATGGACTGTGTCTCTATATCTATTAGCAACACATACAGGTAATCGGAGAACTGAGACACCATTGCTTTTTGTGTCTGTTCACAACTGGCTAGGCTAACCTGGGTGATTGGATCTGGATGCAGATCACCTGCCCTAACTGCAGTGAAGACATTCTCACATGTGCTACAGCTGGGTGACATTGCCCCAAGACAAACAGGCAAACACTGAAAAAACAACTTCTGAAGCACCAAAGTACTGAAAAGGCATGCATTGAACAGCCAAGGCAAGCACTGAGGAGTCGGGAGAGAGAGCACAAAGCACTAGTATGACACACTAAAGAGCCAGCTCAAGCATCTTAAAAAATGGCTAAGTGCCAAGGACCATCATGACCTGGGCCTGTGCAGAAGGCAAGAGCACAGGTGAAGATGCCTCACAATGAGAGCCTGCAGTCTCAGGGCAAGGGCTGGACACATGGCTGTGAAGATGTACCTGTCACAGAAGGTTCCTTCCCCAACTTCAGGAACAAACTAACTGGTGGTTCCCAATGGTGGCATGAACTGCTTTCATGGGGACTGGTTTGCAAGCCATTACTTTACTGTTCCCTTAAGAACCAAAACATCTTCAAGCATTACACCTATCTCAGGTGATGGAGCAGAGACCAAAGCATAAGAGTCCTAGTGGGTGGCAGTCTCTTGAGGGCTCTTCTTCCCATTTCACAAGTGGGGAAACTGAGACATAGAACTGAATGAATTTTGCCATTGGCTTCATTAGGAACAGAATGAGGCTCTATGGACCATATTTTTAAAAGGTTTTATATGCAGATAGGTCTCTAGTGGAATTCTCAAGTGATTTGCAGTGGATCCAAACTGTGAGTGGAACCCAAGAGTCCCCTGCACCTAGCTTTGTCCTTAGACTGTTAAATTACATCTTTCTCCTTTCATGTTATCCAGAAATCCCTGAGCTTCTCTGGGTTCTTTTTCATTGCATTTCTCTCTGGTCTGAATGAACAAATCATGTGTTTGCCAGCTCCTTACCCAATGGAGTTCCTGTTTCACAAACCTGATCTAGAAGCAAACCCACCAACATTCGCTGCTTGCTGAACTAGCTTTATTCCAAAATACGTTTTCATACAGCAAATAAGCAAACTTGGTAAAAAAAAATGTGCATTGCCACAGTAAGCCCAGTTACTTATGGGTTCAGCTGGGAAGTGTCAGAAGATCTGGCCAATGTCTGGATAATAAGGGGAATTCATTGGTGAACTCTCTCTTCTGCCACCTTATGAAAAGCTGAGGTGCTCTTGGGTTGAGCTAATCTTGAAATCTGTCTTGAAATCTGCCATACCCACCTACCATGAATCTCCACGTCTCTGATTTTATTAGCTCATTCCTGGCTGGTGTCCAAGGAACTTTTAAAATAAATCCAAAGGAGGAGTCTTCCTTCAGGTGCAAGTGTTTTTACTTAGCAGATAAGAGGGAAGATTGAGGAGTGAATCTTAACCTGCATAACTGTAACAGTCACATGGTTCCCTAGGCTTTTTGTGGACCTTGTATATTGTGAGGGTCATACAATGCAGTAAATAGATTAGCAATTGTATTATGGCAAGGACAAGGAATACAATTGTTGAGTTGTTTCAGTAATAAAGGGACTTTTTAATTTGCTCTGCTGGGAGGTAAAAACTATATATTAGTTGTGTTGCAGTAATAAACAAGACAACCTATATTGTGTAGAAGAGGGTGCATTTTATGTCCCGTCCTGCAGTCCTTCTACAGGCAGACCTCCATGCATCAATTTTGCTGGGATTTCTGCTTAGGTGAGGACTGCAAAACTGATTCCAGAGATATAAAAATATTTTTTGTCCTGAAGAAAAGAGTGGTGAATTTATTTGAGAGCTGGTTTTCACTACCAAGGCACTTCAGAGTTGTAAAAAGATTCTGTTCTACACAAAGAGGCTGTTGAATAGGAAGGTTGAGATCTTGAAAGATAAGTGAGGGCACTGAGGGCTGTGAATCATGTGGGGGATTGAGGCCAGTTGTGGGGGAGGGGAAGAAATGCCTGGCTGCTAAAGAATACTAAGGACACTTAGGAATTAGGATAGTGCTGCTCTGTCCACGTGCCACTGGATCACTTCTCGGGCGTTATGCCCTTCAAGTAATAAACCCAGGAGATGCCTGCCCCCACATGTGCAGCCCAGGCGCAGGAGATGACCAGCCTGCTGGTGACTGGCATTTTGCTGCCAGTGGGGTTTCCTTCAAAAGAAACAGTGATGGAGATGCTTTTCTTGGAGCGGATGTTTTCAGAGGCTTTGATGGTAAAAGCTGGGCTGTCCACATGGTAGATGAAGGTTGTGTGCTGCAAGAATACATTCTTGAAAGGGATTGAAGTGCTGGAACCGGCCTTGATCTGAAAGGGGCCCTGAGGTTTGGGGGGTACCGAAGTGCCGAAGAGTGGAAAGGTATATTCTCCTCCAATGGGGGAGGAAAGGTGGAGGGTTGCTCTGGATTCACCCAGCTGGCAGGGTTCGTAGATTATTTCCACACTGACATCTGTGCCTCCTTGGGACCCTGGAGCTGCACTGATGACTTTGTCTACATGGAAGTCCGGGCAGTCAATCTGCAAGGGGAGGGAGGGTGTCACATGGATTTACAGAAGGCACGTTAACTCCAGAGCCCAAGGCACTTGCTCTGAGCCTAGCATCTCCCAGGAGCCAAAAACATCAACAGTTATGGGACACTAAGATAATTTAGAATCAGGGGATTCTCCAATGTACAGAGATACAAAATGGATGCGGGGGAGGGGGTCTTTACTATTTCACTTGTCAGTGAGATGCATGTCACAGCCCTGCTCTACTTGGGGCTTTCTGTGCTCACAGGACCTGGTCAAACCCATCCACTAGCTCCAATTCCCACCCTGGAGCTCTAGGGGTGTTTGGTTCCTGGGATGACTTAGACACAGTGGCTTAGGGTGCCTCCCTTGTCTGTAGCAGTAAAGCCAACCATTCCTAGGATAAGCAGTCTAGACCCAGTCCAGAAAACAGAGGCACTGTCATACTGCAGCAATAGCCATGATGAAGTCCATTTGAGTGAGGCTGCAATGGAAGTGGTCCTTAGCTCAGACCCAGCTTTGCTGTGAAGTCAGTATGAAGGCTGCCTACACTCTCCCTAGCCTCACCAACCTGCACTAGCCAAGCCAGGCAGGGGTCCTGCTGAAAAGGCTGAACAGGGCAGTCAGTTAAGAAGGGCTGATGGGGTTTGCAGACTCAGCTGTCTGCTGATGGTGCCCTAGAAGCCTCTGTGGCTTCCCTACTCTTCAGAAGCACCAGAGGAGTTGGAGGAGAGAGGGGAAGGGAGGAAGCTCTGCTCACCTTGGTGGTATACTCTACTCTCTGGCGCGTATAGTTAATGAACTTGGTGGTGATGATCTGGCTGCTGCCCAGCATGGTGCGGAAATAGAGTGGCTTCTCTGGCCTGCCTGTGATGGCTTTCAGGTTCAGATCATACTGGAAGGAGCCCAAATCGCTGCTCTGCAGTGTCAGGCGTCCACTGACTTCCCCAATTTTAAGGGGCTGGAATTCAAAAACAAGCACCCCCTGGAAAGAAAGAGAGAACAACCTGCTGCATTATAGGGGGAGGGGGAACTTTAGAAGCTAATACAGGAGGGAAACTAACACCTGATGTCCTGAGACACTGGTTATTGTTAAAAAATGCTGTAAGAACACCCAGTCACACTCAAGTCAAGAGCCAGTTTCTTTCCTACCCTACCAAAGCTGACTCATTCAGTGCATTTACAGTCTATAATAATGTCAAAGTCAAGCAAGTATGATCACAAGGGGGGAGTGTGACTTCATTCATCAATGACCATTATTTATCTACCCAAAAATGATCAGGCTCTTATCCTTCTGCCACAAAAAGGGATCTCATCTTGTAGCAACAGCCCCCCTCCCCCCCATTTCTCTTGTCAGGAAGCACCTTTCTTTTCCCCTTTCAGATTATATTTTAAATTATATTCATATATTGTGTTCATTTCTGTATTCTATTTTATTATGCATTTCTGTATTTTATTGTTCATGTATTCCCTCTACATTTTTGGTATGGCATCCTGTGTCTTACATGTTATTTATGCTTTACATTTTATTTCATATTCTTTAAGTTAGCTAAGCCTTATACTATTGAAACTGTAGCTGTAAATACTCATTGAATTGTATCACCTTTACAGTGTACTGGGTGGTCCCCTGAGTGAATGCCAGTATGTATGAGTCAGTAGGTAACTGAATGACAAGCAGGGAATACAAAGCAAGAGCCTCTGGCTGTTAATTGACAATAGCCTAGCCAGAGGAATTTACCATTACAAAACTCTAATCTACAAGCCATTTTAAGCTAATCAAGCCATAGAACTGATTCCTGGAACCTGCAGTGACACAGCCATTGAGTCAATCAAGTCAAGGGTGGACTCCAACCATTGGGCAGAACCCCCAGTGACTGTGACTGACAGCTGTCATGCACTACTCAAGACCCACGTGGGACACTGACCTCCGGCTTGGGCAGCCAAGATGATGCTGGGGGATCACAGAAGTCTGCCAGATAGGGCTAAAAGGCGGTGGAGTGGGACCCTCAGCAGCACCCTCTTTCTTCAACCAGCACCAGAACCTACTGACCAGAAGGACAAGCCAGCGAACCTTTTCTGGAGAAGCCATTGCCTTGAAGGAAGATTTGACTGGCCGTTGATAGCAGATTCCAGTGCCTCGGATAGGTAGATATACTAACACCAGTGCTCTCACAATCACTACAGCAGCTACTATATAGGTTTGAATGAATGAGTGCAAATGCGTGTGTGTGTGTGTGTGTGTGTGTGTGTGTAGGAGACCAATATCCCTTTTGGTGCCAATCCTGTGCAAGGTATAATAGTTGCACACCCCCACACAATAAACTTGATATTGGAGATCCCGCGAGTTGGTCTTAATAACCAACAATCTCTCTGCTCCTGTGTTGTCTCCCTCCTCCTCCCACCCCATACCTGATTTATCCATTCAGAGTGTCAATGTTTCGGACGGGGTCATTTCTCATATGTACAGAGCAGTCTGGAAGGAGGTGGGGGGTCTAACTGTATAGCAGTGGTTCCCAGCTTTTGTTGGCCCATGGGTAAAATCATGCAGTAAACTGTTGGGAGCCAACCTTTTAGACAGGAGTGTCACAAATTAGCTCCACTACTTCCTGAGTGCTACTTCAGTCTCTCTCCTTTCCCTGATCTGCTCTCTGCCCAATTAGTATATCTACCCGTCAAAGGCACTGGAGTCTACTATCGATGGCCAGTCAGTCAAAGCTTCCTTCAAGGTGATGTCTTCTCCAGAAAAGGGTCGCTGGCTTGTCCTTCTGGTCAGTAGGTTCTGGTGCTGGTTGTCCTACTTTGCTTTCTGCTCCCTGCCCTATCTGCCATCCTAATCTCCTATGAGCCACACACAGAGGCTGCCATGCCACTTATGGCACCCATGCCAGAGGTTGGCCACCTCTGAAGTGATGTAATGCAGACAACAAAAGATTCTGCTCTTCTTAACTCATTTCCCATGGCTGTGAGCCATGTTAGAGAGTCTTATATAAGCAACATGTTGCCATGAGCTGTGTGTTGGGGACCTCTGCCGAACTGTAATGTATAATGTTAACATATTCAGAACCTGCAGTGACACAGCCATTGAGTCAATCAAGTCAAGGGTGGACTCCAACCATTGGGCAGAACCCCCAGTGACTGTGACTGACAGCTGTCATGCACTACTCAAGACCCACGTGGGACACTGACCTCTGGCTTGGGCAGCCAAGATGATGCTGGGGGATCACAGAAGTCTGCCAGATACGGCTAAAAGGTGGTGGAGTGGGACCCTCAGCAGCACCCTCTTTCTTCAACCAGCACCAGAACCTACTGACCAGAAGGACAAGCCAGCGACCCTTTTCTGGAGAAGCCATCGCCTTGAAGGAAGCTTTGACTGGCCATTGATAGCAGATTCCAGTGCCTTGGACAGGTAGATGCACTACTAGTGGGGTATCCTGAGGAAGTGTTTAGACAGCTGTAGCAACCTCTGGCAAAGCTGGAAGAAGGAGTGTGCTGGTGTCTGTCCATACCACATGTCACTTAACTGACCATTAACTGTGTCCAGCAGCAGTTCCAGGATGCTGGAAAGGGGAGTGCAGTAGTGGCAGCAAGTTCACAGTGTGTGTGTTTGCTGGTTGAGAGCAGAGATGCCAATGGTGAAGTGGGTGTGACTTCACTATTGCACCCCCCTGGATCAGCCCTGATTGCCTGCAATTTGCTTCTGGGAGAATCTTTTTTTGGGAAAAATTAGAAGGAAGAAAAACAACCAAAACATGTGCCCTTTGTATTTCAGGGTTCAAGGCCATTAGGGCTGGTCTTAGCAGAGAATCACTTCAGTTCTTGAGCCTGCCCAGCACAAGGGTGAGGAAGAGTTGGGCCAAGCGCGGTTGTGACTTACATGTGGACAGCTTGTCAAGAAATGGAGATGGTGCCATGAGCTGACCAAATTGTCATAGAGGGGTGGGCAAAACATGGCTTGCATTTGCTCTTGAAGGCAAAACTGTACCTGTGCAGCAGCCAAGTCAGTGATTGTTATCTATATATCTGCACCACTGGGGAAGAGTGACATGATGGTGGATGGTGCAGTAACTAGTTTCACAAATCACCACTACAGTGCTGCGATGACATGTAGGTTGCTGGTAGTGATTTTGCATGTGGTAGGCACATTAGAAGGCCCCATGGTTGCTAGCTAGGTAGGTATCCACAGGGGGAGTATATTCTTTGTATGGGAAGTCTATTTCACAATACCCTCACCCCTCTGATTTGCTTTTCCTCCCCATCTTCTCATTCAGATTTGATCCTGTGGGTAACAAGTCTCTTTTAGGACCTGACTCTTAGTAGGTGGATCTATTACTATGAGAAACCAGCCCCAAAGAGTGCAGGCAGAACAGGCTAAAACCTGGGCCAGGGCACTTGAATACTAGAACTGCTATTGTCTGTGAAGTTCATAGCAATTGTTCCCAGAAATGATCATAGGGTCAGCAATATAAGGAAGTTTCTTATCCAAGGCCAGTTCATACCTCAGACTGGGCAGGAATGATGAATTGTGGGGGGAGGTTGATATCAGGCACCTTGCAGTCTGTAGTAAATGTCACAGGAATGAGAAGGGGGTTTTCAACCTTGATAGAAGAGGATATGCTCTGCCGGACTGGGGTCATCATCTCGATGGTGCTAATTGGACCAGAAGGAATGGCCTTGAAGGTGACAAAGTAGAACAAGTATTCCTGCGTCACCTCGTTGCGAAAGGTTACCTGGAATTAGAGAGAAAGAACGATAAGACCCAAGGGAGTGAGAAGTGCCCTCTGCACTGAGGTCTGGTTCAGATCATAAGGCAAAGCACTCCTCAGGACTCTCAAGCTTCCCATCTGCCATGCATATGCTCAGCAAAGATGATGTGACCTAGTTTTCAGAGGTGTTAAGCAGTGCTGTTGCCAATTATGTTAAATGGGAGTTGTTACTGAGATACCTATAGGATAGATGCTTAATTTTAGGCATCCATATTTCAATATTCTAGTTTAGAAACATGCAAGGCATAAAAGTACACACACATGTATTCAGCAAGCAACTGCCCCACTCTGAGGCCCAGGTGCCTGGTGCCTGTCTACCTTTGCACTGTATAGCCCTTCCTTGTAGGAGAAGAATGTGAGCTTGTGGTCCTTCTTGGAGGAAGCTGGCACATCAAGGTAGTCAAGTCCCTTCAGCGCGGTGGTATTGTCTAGCTTTTCTGGCTTTATCATGTCTACTATCACATGGAATCTGGACAAGACAAACATGGGAGTGGTTGAAGGCCATTGCAAGTAGCGTGAATCGCAATCAGTAAGCCAGTTGGGCCAAGCATACGTCTGCATAGGCTGCTTGGCTGTTACAGCTGTTAGAGCCCTTCTGGGAGCCAACAGCTGGCCCAGCATTTGCTCTGTGTTTCCAAACAATGTGACCCCCTCTGAAAAAGGAACTGAATCCCCCCATCAGTCCATTTCACTGAGCTATCAGAAATACAACCTGGTGCTCTGCTGTGCTGACTCACTGGTAACTATACTGGGGCCAGGTGCTGTAGAGTTCATTCTGGTTTAAAAGCTGAGTGGATCCCCTAAACCCAAAACGGGTATGAGCAAGGGCCATGGAAGCTGGCTATGATCTGTTGAGAACCCTTTCAGACAGGTCCATCTGCTCAGCCCTTTCCATGGAGTACTGGCCGAGGCTGCCTTTGTGATGAACAATAAGCTGGGACTTGTTGCAGTTCTCTGTTTACCTTTGTGGTTTGTTTAGCCAGTTGGACACAGGGATCAGTTCAGTGTAGGAAGTTTTACATGGCACCTCTCGAATGATGGACCCTGAAGACTTGGGGGGCTCTGCAGTGCCCTGCAGGAGGTACAGCAAGCCTGTCCCATCTGGGATGGGGAAGAAGATGGAGCCCTGGAGACAACAGTAAAGGTTAACAGAGCCTCCCAGACTCCCTGTTTGGATCAGCAGGATGTGTGCACACAGGCGGCCAGATGTGTGGACATGAGGAAAACTGCTTTGCGCTGTCCTGTCAACAAACCCAGCCTGAAAGCCATTTTGACCTGCTCAGGAAGAATCATCCAAGCACAAGGGTGCCCTGGTCGCCTATGCTACTGTTTTACAGTTGGCAGTGGGAGTGATTTTGCCCAATGTAAAGGTAAGCTACACGTGTGCCAAGATCTCTTCTTAACCTGACTCTAGGCACATCATCTGCATACCAGGCCTGCCCACAAAAATGTCCATGGGAGCTAGCTTAGAAGGGGTCTTGCTAGTTCCTACTGCTAACAAAGCTCTGAATGGGGGTGGGAGGGGTGATTTATTTCTCTTGTGGCTCTCGGTAACTATGGCATAATGCTCCAGC